TATACATATACATACATATATATATATATATGCATACATATATATATATATATATATATATATATATATATATATATATACATACTCATCACAAGACTCATCACACTCAAGACCACACGGGAACACATCCTAAACCACAAAGGTTAACCAGACACAAGGATAAAGACTCACCCAACGACAACACATGCCAAAACAACACAAGCCTCCGTGACTACACCCGTCACGAGAGAAGATCACACAACGCCGGCTTTACAAGCCCTCGCAACATCACCCATCGCGAGTTGGTATGCCTTCCTTATGCCCTGTTCCAACCTTATGGCTACCCCCAACCTTGTATCTTCTTTCCAACCATTACCTCCAGGATCCCCTGTACAGCCAAGTCCAACCTTATTTCGCCTAGACCGTCGTCCCCCACCTATAACCACCAACGAACCACCACCAATCACGACAACACATGCCCGGATAACACATGTTATCCCCCAATCACGTGGACCCATCACTCAGGCTATAACTCTATAATCACGTCACGGCCACCACGAGGACCGCTGCAATACCTTGGTGACTAGTGTCCCATACCACTAATCCTGCAATCCAGGTAAAGCCACACACGCCACACCTCAACAGGAATCAATCAAAGGATTGCAATGAATGTATGAAACACACTCAATCAAGGAACGGGTCACAGCCCAACAACAACAACGATGGATAACACAAGTTATCATCAACCAATCGGAAGGTACAAACCACACACACACTAGCATTAAGACAACAAACTAGCATGCTTAACAACGGGGAAACTCAAGATAGTTCCGAGGAATACACAAGACACCTCTTGGTCCAACGAAACACAATGTTGAACACTTAGCACGATTCAAGACACCAAAGTCCTACATGGATACCTACCATATAGTTCTAGACATACGAAACATCAAGAAGATACTCAAATAGTTCCATAAAAGAACAACGGGAAGTCAAAAGACCAAATACCAAGACAAACAAATCACGGGGAACAAATCTCGAACGAACTCCATCGTGTTCCCCGCGGGTGGACCCACGGGTACGCCCCTACCCGTAGTTCTGCCCGCGGGTACAACACCCACATTCCTATGTACCTGCGGGTGGGTGGCGGGTAGGGCTCTCCCCGCCGTTCCGCCCGCGGGTACATGCACTTGTGTAAAACAATCCCTTTGGGGATTTTCTTCTCCAAACACAAACTTAAGTCCAAAACATGCAAAATCTCACCAAACACAACAAAATGACTTGAACCATGGAAAATGCCAAGCAATGGCACAAAGGAACCCTAAACACAAGCTCTAGATATGCAATATCACAAGATAAATGCATAAACCCTCACATTTCATAGCAAAACACAAGTAGAATCTAAGAAATCACATATAGGTAAGCAAAATAGGTTTTGTAGAGCATGGGTTACCTCTTGAAGACCAAAAGACTTCTCTTTACACCACAACAAGCTCTCCACTAGGCTCACTTCTCAAACCCACTTCAAGATCAAACCAAAAGATCATAAAGATCCTACCTTTAAGAAAAAGACAACTAAGATGGAACCAAAAAGACTAGACAAGCTTAGATCTTACCCTCCTAGATGCCCAAATATGTGAAAGGTTGAATCTTGGAAGCAAAACTTGGAATCTTGACAAGGGTCTCAACTTGGCTTGGAGAATAGGCTACACTTCTTTTCTAGAGAGATGGTAGAGATATTTTCTAGGAATTGTAAGGAATGAAATGAAGAAGTCTTCTAGGTTAGGATACAATACTAACTCTTGGTGAAAAGACAAGGATACCCTTACTAACCCTTAGAAAGTGTAAGGAACAAGGGAACTCCTCTCTAAGCACAAGGTACAACACAACTTAAAGATTGACTAGTCAAATACTAGTCCTTGAGTATTAAAAATCAGGATTTTAGGAATCAATTCCTCAAAAGAATTAGAATTAATTACTCAATTAATTCATGGATTGGAGTGTGGATTTTTGGGGTGTCACACACACCGCCTGGCGCGTCCAGTCGGTGGGTCATAGCAAACTAGGCCCATGTGGACCGCAGCCCAAGAAGTGAATCACTGACCGCGGCCAGGAGAATGAACCGCAGCTCATAACCAATTTGACCGCAGCCAACTTCTGAACCGAAGCTCAGGAACACCCAATTGATCGCAACCAAATTGGGGAATCATGCATCACATAACACATTGTAGCACGTAATAGCACATTGGGAAGGGGGAGACGTATAAATAAACTTACGTGTGATCACTCACATACTAAGAGTAGTCCTAAGGGGTTCATGCATTTTCCTCCTAGGCCAACGGGTTACCGATTCACTAGCATGCAATTCCTAAGACTCTTCTATCCTACGAATGGCACCCGAAACATCAAACTAGACTCAAGCACGACAAACGGGGTCCGTTGGGACACCACGGGGAATGGGGAACGTCAAACGGGGATGCCAAAGACCTGGGGTGGGTGACAAACCAGCGGGAAGCCGGTGGGTGGAGGGCCACCCGCCGGCTGCCCGTCAGCGACGAGTTTCCGGGCAGCGGGTGCCCGGCGGGCAGTCGCCTGCCCGCCGTTACCCGCTGCCGGTGATGCTCTTTGGGGCAGCGGGTAGGTGGTGGGTTCCCCTACCGCCACCTACCCCCCACTGACTCCTTAACACAACAAACGACCCGAGATCCTCCGTGGAACCCGAAACCATGCTTAGACACTTTTAAACGCAAATAACGGCACCACGTAGGCAATTAATGGATCAAAAGCAAGAATCATATTGAGCACATCCTAACATGACTTCTAAACATAAACAACACCCGAACATGCGAATCCCCACCCAAATATAAATCAAGAACATCTCAATACAAATTCCCAATCCAACCTAGGGCTCTAATCCCATCCAAATCATCAAAATCATATTTTATCTCTATCATCAAGAAACATTAAGATTTATCAAGAATCATCACATACATATCAAGAACCTCTTTTTAACATCAAGATCATCAAGATCACACATAAAATCATCACATCAATCAATAGGACTATATCAAGAATAACATAAAGGAATTCATCAAGACACAATCATATAGAGAGAGCCAAAGAAGGAGATTATAGCAAGGAAAATAGGTTTTGTTAAGACATGGGTTACCTCTTAGCCTTATTTAATTTCCTTGGCTATGAAGGGTTTTTCTTTAAGATTTCTTCTTTCTTGATTTCTCCTATGGGAATTCTTGGGGAATTCTTGTGTGGTGTGAGTTCTAGGTGCCTCCTATGTCCCTATTTATATATCTAAGAGTCCCAATTAGGGTCTAAGTGGTATGGATTTGCTAATTCTATTTCCTATAGGACTAAGGGATTGGCTTTAGGGATAAGGGCCCACGGACTATGGTGGACCCCCTTTTAGCTAATTAATGGATTTTAACTCCCTTTTTGGGCTGAGTAATTAATTAATTAATTAGGTTTAGGGGTCGTAACACGGGGTGTTACACTAAGTGTCCAACTTTGTGATTCCTTGGACTATCATGAGTCTTGTATGTTCTATGGAACTACTTTTGGTTTTCCCGTTTGATAAGCATGCTAGTGTGATGTTGAAATTATAGTGTGTTGGGTTTGTTCTTTCCTATTGAGGTTGGCAACTTGTGTTGACCATCGTTGATGTCAGATTGTAATCCTTCCTTGTTAAGTAAGGTTTCATATCCTTGTTGTGATCCATTGATTGATTCCTGTGATGAAAACGTGTGTACTTGTGGTACCTTGATTGCACGATTAAGGTTTATGGGGCCTTAATCTCCAAGGTACTGATGTGGTCCTCGTGTGGCCATGATTGAAATTGGTAGTGTGACCTGAGCGTAGGCTCATATGTTGGAGGCTGTGTGATTGAAATGAAAAGTACCCTCGTATACTCATGAATAGGTGGTATGTTGGAGGCTATGTTGGAGGGGGGACGACAGTCCCTAGCGGTATAAGGTTGGACTCAGAAGTACAGGATGACACCAGGAGGTAATGGTTGGAATTGCAATAAGGCCGGGGGTAGCCATAAGGTTGGAACAGGGCATAAGGTTGGAACTTGGATTTGTGTTTCGTGACATGTAGTTGTCACTGTGGCATGTAGTTGCCAATGTGTGTATGTGTATCTTTGCTATTGAGCATGTCTTGATGTATTCTACTTTGTGATTAGTAGAATACATCTCGAGTTGTATTGTTTACTGATATTGTTCTTGTCTTGTGGTTGTCATGGGATGTTGATTTCCCCTTGTTCCTTTGAGAGTGAGATAGAGTCTTTGCAGTTGACTTTTCTATATGACTTTTAAACTGATATATACCGTATTCTGTTTCAAAAATGGTTTTGATTTATACTATCTATATATGTTATTTAACGCGTATTGATGGGTTACCAGCAATATTCGCTGACCGGGCGTCGTCCCCTTTCTTTATGTTGCTTTACAGGTCTTGAGTAGGTTTTGGAGTGCGCGCTAGCTGTTGTTAAATAGTGTAGCTCCCTTTGACTGTTTAGTTAGAGTTTTGGGCCTGTGAGCCATGGATTGTTATGAACATGACTTGTACGTTTGTTAGACTTAGCCTGTGCATCCGCTTTGATGTGGATGTGGCATAGCACTTCCCATTTTTAATTAAAGTCTTCCGCTGTTGTTTAAGTTTTATGCTACCTGTTTGTTACCTTGTGTTATGCTTTTAAGTTTTTAAATTGTCGTGAAAATTGGGGGTGCTACAGTTGGTATCAGAGCCTAGGTTTGAGCCTAGGATGTTAGAATCTGGACCTTTAAGAAGTTAAGTGTGATTTGAGACCCTAAGGTGACCTTAATTATCTAAGAGTTTAGGACTTAGGACTTTTAGAACGCGTGGTGAGCTGTGTGTCGTTTACCGTTTATCCTGTTTGCTTTGTTGTTTCTGCTTAGCTTAGTGTTCTTTTAGTTAGCGCCAGGTAAGGGTTCGTTGTTTGTTTGTGCCTACCGTAACCGTGTTGTTGTTGTGGAAGCTTTGTCATGGCACGACCTCGTCAACGCGCTCATACACCCGAGACACCAACCAACGAGCAGTTGGCTCAGAACTTGCAACATCTCACGCAGACCATGCAAACCTTGAGCAAAGACCTTTTGCACAACAACTATCCTACTCCGCCGCCACAGCCTGCCGGACATCGGGATGTGGGACGTCTAGTCTCGGGCCATAGACCACCGATGTTCGCCGGGGAGGAGGACCCCGTCATGCTCGAGGAATGGATCCGAACCTTTGACAAGATCTTCTCCATCGTAGGGTGCCCTGAAGAGCGTAGAGTGGAGTTGGCATCCTTATACTTCAGTCATGAAGCTGATCTCTGGTGGGTGCACGAGGGACCCGCATGCCTAGAGGAGCCCGACTTCGACTGGACAACCTTAAAGGACCGGATGAGAGAGTGGTTTTATCCGGCACATGTCCGAGCTGCTATGTACGAGGAGTTTCTACACCTCCAGCAGGGTTCATCGTCTGTGGTGGAGTACCACAAGCGCTTCTTGGAGCTCGCTCGTTTCTCTAGGATGCTAGTCCCCACCGAGCTTGCGAAGGTGGAGAAGTTCGTGACTGGACTCAACTATGAGGCTCGAAAGGCATTGACCATGAGCAAGCCGAGGACCTTGAAGGAGGCTTATCTGAGTGTTGCAGACTTATACCGGGTACAACAGCTGCATCGAGGGTCATTTGAGCTCGCTAAGAAGAGGAACGAAATCGGTGGACCCCACAACTTCAAGAAGCCTAGGCAAGACTTCCGAGCCAGGACAGCACCTTCCCCACCTCAAGGATCAACCCGAGTAGAGTCTGGAGATCAAGCTAAGACGTTCGCATGCAGAAAATGTGGAAAGGAGCATGTGGGAAAGGGTTGCCAAGGACTTGCACTTTGATGTTTCAAGTGCGGGGAAAGACGTCACAAGGCTTTCGCATGCCCTCTTCAAGCTAATCAAAGAGCCTTGCCACCTAGCTCGGGATCCGGTGGAACTTCGGGAGGAAGTTCAAGCCGAGGAGCAACTGGAGCTAGACCTTCGGGTCGAGTGTTTGTGATGGGTCGGTCCCAAGCTGAGTCGGAGGGGTTGGTTGAAGAAGAGATGGCAGGTAACCTTTTTCTCAGCCTATCTTTATCTTGAGAGTGTGCCTTTCCTTTCTTGCCTTAATTCCTTGGTATGTGATCCTTTTTCGCTTTTCAAGTGAGTTTCTTTCGCGAGTTGATTGTTTATTTCTGAGTGGATTGTCCTTGTGTTAATTACGTAGCCTTGCATATATGCTCTTTTAACTCAACCTCTTTCTTTTGGGTCATCTAAATTTAATTGAGTACCCTTCGAATTTATAATAGACAAACCATAGAAATCCTTTCATTTGTAGCCTAAAAAGACCAAGAAAGTTTTAATTTGTAGCCACCTAGTTCAAACCCGAGTGTACAAGTAACCAACCCATCCTTTGAACCACTTGAACCAATTGTATTTCTTAAACCTTATCCCATTTAAATTCCATTTAACCTATCATTTTCACTTTACCCAAAAATCCCCAAATTAAAACCTTCTTTCTTCCAATTTTATTTCCAAAAATTCCCCAAACCCTCCATTTTTCTCCCACCCGTGAACCACCTAGAAACCCCCCCCCCCCCTCCCCTACCCGTCGGTCTCCTTCCTCCCGTCGTAGCCAAGTTCCGCCGTCGACGCCACCTGCCGCCCGACGCCACCAGTAGCCGACGCCATCGCCGATCAGCTGCCTTGTCATCGCCGAATGTTCGCCGTGCCGCCCAGTCGGAATCGAGGCCGAAAGAGAGAAGAAGAAGAATATTGGAAGAAAGAAAAGAGTTTTGGTCTACTTTGAGTCTTTGGGTCATCTCAGAATCATGCCCAGAAGGACTAACTTGATGAGAAGAGTGGAATGGGTGAATGCCCACTACCTCGTGTTGGAAGGTAAGGCCTTTGATCCTGATTCCCTTTCAAACTCTTACCTGAGTTTTGTGAAAGAATTCTACCGTCACGTGGCTGTGACTAAGGATGGTGGAAAGTTGGAGGTTACTTCAAAAGTGAGAGGGGTGAAAATTGTTTTAACTGAGAAGAGGCTGGCTCAGCTTTTGAGTCTGACAACTACGGGAGTCTCGCTGTATAGTGGTGACTCATGGATTGGGACGGATAACATGGGTTATCGAGACTACTTGAGTTATCTCTTGGGTCGGACTAGCGGTTTTACCCAGGCCACGAGGCCGGAAAGGAAATGGTTGACTGTTAAACAAAGGATATTAGTTATGCTTGTTTCTGACTGTTTGTTGCCCAATAACAACAAGAGCCGTCTGTTGGGAAAGTTGGAGTGCACGTTTGCCTTTTGCTTGAAGAATATGGTGAAGTTCAACTTGCCTGCTTTAATGTTGCATCATATGGTCTTTTGCCGAGATCATAACCGTAAGAGTCTGCCGTATGGAATGGTTTTGAGCTGATCTTCGCCAAGAAGGGAGTAAGTGTTGACGGTTGTGTACCTAAGCTAGTGGGTAAAATGGTGCTGGATGCCACAAACCTCTGGAGTTGCAACCTGTTTCAAATTGATGACGGGGAGTACCTCACACTCGAAGAGGTTGCCAGGAAAGCCCCCGCTGAGAGAAGCGCGTTGGTTGCTGAGCTTGAGATCCCCGTTGGGAAGTTGAACCTCGCAGTTCAGAGTTTGGGAGGAGATGTGGGAAATGAAGGTGAGGAGGACCAGGAAGAGGAAGTAGGGGTAGAAGAAGCTGAAGAAGTTGAAGAGAGCAACTCTGAAAGTGAAGAAAACCTAAGACGGAGAGAAGCCAGAACCAAGAGGGAGCATGACGCCATGACATACGAGGAGCGTGTGGTCACCCTTCTTCGCCAGCAGAATAGAATGATAGAGGAAGGCTTCGCATACATGAAGACGCAGTTTGTCGCGGTCAACCAGAGGTTGGATCAGCTAGAGGCCAGTTCTAGCCGAGGAAGAGCCGATGAAGATTTAGACGAAGATACCGAGGAGTCGGAGAGCGAGTCCTTCTAGTTTGGAGTTGGGGTAAGCCCGCCTTCCTCCCCTCGTTTGTTGTTACCGTTGTGTTGTTGCCACCTGTTGGTTGTGTTTTGTTGTTTGCCTCTTGTTATCCTTCTTGCTTGTTAGTTGTTGTTGGGTTAGTTGGGTTGCTTTGCTAGAATCTAGATGTTTTAAACTTAAGTGGAATCTAGGAAGTTTTGGTTGATGTGTTTGACCTTAGCGTTGTGTTGCTCAAGGAATTCATCTTGTGATCTTTAGAATCTTGCAAAGTTTTGACTTCTTGACGATTTTACATCTTTTGAATTCTTGAAGTTTTGGTCAAGAGATGTTCTTGCTTTCCTTGTCACATTGTTGGTTCATGTTGCCCGTTTTGGTTGAACTCGTCGTACCCAAGCTTCTTGGACGAAGCTTCTTTTTAGGGTGAAAGGATGTGACACCCCGTAAATCCAAACTCTAGTTAAGCATTAATTAGATAATTAATCCTAGTTTTATTGGTAATTTATTCCTAAAATCCTGAAAATTCAATAGTCGGGGGACTACAAATTGACTAGTCAATCCAAGTCAAAGAGTTGTACTCTATGCCTTATGAGTTGTTCCCTTGTCTCCTTATTCTTCCAACTTTAGTAAGGACATAGGAGTCTTTCTACCTAAAGGTTGTTCTCCAAGCTAACCTAGCATCATCCTTTCATTTCATCCACTAACACCCTAAACACAAAACCTCTACCTTCTCTCTAGGAAATTGATAGCTTCTTCTCCAAGCCAAATTTTGGGTATCCTAAATCCTACAAGTTGGTCTCCAAGATTCATACATTCCTAACCTTGAGCATAGGGGAGGTGTAACACCTCGAAATTTTTAAACTTTTGAAGCTTATATAATAAAGGTGAAATCTCATTAATTTCCAAAACATAATATAAAGAGTACGGGGTGCTATGCCACACCTGAGCTAGAGAACTCAGGTGCACAGGCTAAATTCTAACAATCTCAATCAGTATCAATACAAATCATGGCACGCAGGCCAAAAGGGAAAACTATCTAATCTACGCCCCAAACCTCTAGCGCGCTCCAGTGATCTACTCGTCTGTGCCTGAAAGCCAAATATATCTGTTCAGCGAGAGATGCTGGTAACCCACTCCAACGTGTTGAAATACAATACATATAGATATATACATAGTTATACGAAAAACCATTTCGAAGCATGAAGATATATCCTAAGAGACTCTAGCTTTCAAACAGGGAATAGACTCGATAGATAGGGATAAACACTACCAACAGACATAACCAAGCACACACAATTCTCAACGTAGGGCACAGATATAGATAAGCACAATAATCATAACCAAGCATATATAGTTCACTAGCATGTGTCCTATGGTCACGCCTTCGTAACAATCATAACATCAAACCATCCATATCTCATCACATAGCACACTTTGTTGGCGCCACAGGACCAATCGCATGCCCATACATGAGGGTCAGCCCATATTGCAACACGGAGGGATCGATCGCCACCGACCGATGAACCGCAGCTCATCATAGTGTTTGATCGCAACCAAACAGTGGACCGCAACCCAAGAGTATGTCATCTGACCGCAGCCAGGAAATATGAACTGCAGCTCATGTAGAAACGTTTGATCGCAACCAAACGGTAGACCGCAGCCAGCTTCTGAACCGCAGCTCAGGAATAACCAATTCGATCGCAACCGAATTGGGGTATCATGCACACATAACACATAGCAAGCACATGCATCCCACATTAGCACATTGGGAGGGGGGAGAAATCGTATAACGAAACCTATGCGTGATCATCCACATACTAAGAGTGATCCTAAGGGGTTCATACTTCTTACACCTAGGCCAACGGGATACCAATTCAACTAGCATGCAATATATAAAATTTATACAACCTACAAACGGTACCCGAAATATCAAACTAGACACAGGCACGATAGACGGAGTCCGTTGGGACACCACGAGGATCGGGGGAACATCAAATGGGGAAGCCAAAATCCCAAGGTAGGGTAAAATCCAGCGGGTAGCCGGTGGGTGAGGGGTCACCCGCCGGCGGCAGCTTTCCGGGCAACGGGTGCCCGGCGGGCAATTGCCCGCCCGCCGGCTGCCCGCTGCCGACGTTACCAACATTGGCCGCAGGTAGGTGGCGGGTCCCCTACCCCCACCTACCTCCCACTGACTCTTTCATCACAGAAAAACGCCCCGGGAACCATTGTGGAACCCGAGGCCATGCTTAGACACTTTCAAAAGCAATTGACAACAACACGTAGACAGTTAACGGATCCAAAAGCAAGAACATACGGCACATAACCTATCATGCTTTTCTAAACATAATCAACACCCAAAAATACGAATTCCCAGTTTCCCACCCAATATACCAAGAATAATACCATACGAATTCCACGATACAACTTAGGGTTCTAATTATTTTTAAATCAACAAGAACACAATTCATCTTCTAATATCAAGATTCGGTAGGAATATCATATAAACATCAAGAACATCATATAATCATCAAGAACATCAAGAACACCATATAATTATCAAGAACATCAAGAACACCATATAATCATTAAGAACCTCTTATCATCAAGATCATCAAGATCACCCATGGAATCATAACACCAATTATCAAGATCATTATAACGAATCATCAACACACAAGAATATGGGGGAAATCTTAAGAGGGGAATCATAGCTATGAAAATAGGTTTTGTTGAGACATGGGTTACCTCTTAGCCTTAATTAATTCCTTGGCTATGAAGGGTCTTTCTTTAAGCTTTCTTCTTTCTTGATTTCTCCTAAGGGAATTCTTGGAGCTCCTTGGGTGGTGAGAGATTATTGTGGTGGGGGTTCTAGGTACCTCTTATGTCCCCTATTTAT